TGCAGAGGGTGGCCAGGTAGCTCTACTACTTTGCAGAAGATGAATTAAAAAGGAGGTAAAAGCCAGGAAAGCAGAATGCTTTGGATGATGCGTTGTCATGCAGACTAGACTATGAGATAGCTCATATCACGATGGTGACGTCGACATTTGAATTTGATCCGCGTCGCATACGCGGGTGATAGTATGTGCTGCAGGTTCTCCAGGGCAAAGAATTTGAAAATCAAACCAGAAATTATCGGCGCGTTTGCGAGCGCTTTTACATCGATATTCATTGAATAACGGGCTGCTGTATTATAACACCAATTAATGGGATACGCCACGAATTGTGGCTCCTCACGATAAGGATTTGAAATACCGCATCCTCTGCGAGGCCCACAACACCTCACTCAGTAGTCATATCGGTCGTCAGAACGTACAGCTCGGTGAGTTGCTACCCAAGCTCAACAAATGGACGAGCAAATACGTGTGCGCGTGTGAGACGTGTCAGAGGCTGAAATTCTCTCCAAATGCGGCGGCACCGCTCGCCAGTTTTCTGGTACCCTCCGGGTGGTGGCAGCCCATGATTATGGACTTTGTGTTTGGCCTGCCAAAGAACTCGGCGGGCAATACGGTGTGGTGGTCTTTGTGGACCACTTGTGCAAGATGGCTTTTCTTGCTCCAATTTCGAACACCATCGACGGTGTGGCCACAGCGACGCTGTTTGTTGATCATGTCTTTTGACAGCATGATCTCCCAGAGTCAATTGTCTTGGCTAGAAACCCACCCTTCACTGTGAAGTTTTGACAAGTATCAGGGTGCTGGGCACCAAGTTGATTATATCAACAGTGGAACATCCGCAGACCGATGGTCAGACCGAGCGCGTAAATCGCGTCGTTGAAGACGTTCTTCGCAGCGTTTGCGCTGAGACGCCGAAGCGCTGTATGCCGCTGGTAGAGTTTGCTCTAAACAATGCAGTGCATTCTTCTACCAGCTACACACCGTTGTACGTGAACGGGCTTGCTGATCTTCGTGTCCCGCTGACACCGCCATCCCATGGCTCAGGGCTTGGTGGGGGAAAAGCCGAACGACTAGCTGATGTAAGCCCCTTCACTATCCGTAAAGAAGTAAGTGACTTCCATTCGACTGAGTGCCCTACGACACGATCGCGATGCGATGGCTAAAAGCCAAGACATGCAAAAAACATGCAGATGGAAGAAGCATAAGAAATGTTGAAAACTTTGAGGTTAGTGACCTGGTTTTATTAGATGCTAATAATCTTCCTACACATGCGGTCGCTGTCATCTTCAAGATAAAGCTCCGTCCAGGGCTTATTGATTCTTTGAAGGTCGTGGCCAAGCGAGTCCTTTCGTTCACGCTGAAACTACCGAAAAGGATGCGCACCCAACCAATAGTTTATGTGGTCTTGCTTAAGCCGTACCGGGATTTGGCGCAAGGGAAAGCCGAAGTGTTAGCGCCGGGTTGTTGCCAAAGGCGCTCGGCCACCCAGAAGCTGAACCAGCAACTGGTTCTGAGCACGAAGAGCAACATGTTCCGATTCCAACGGCGCAAGGCGCTCCACCGCCGCACGAAGTGATGTATTCGTCTACTCGACGGCTAGGATCCGCTTCGACAGAGCGCGTTAGTTCTCGAAGTGGGCAGTCGGTGCACAAAGTGCTTCAGACTTTCGAGGTGTTCCACGCAGCAGTACAGTATGCGACATCGGCCAGATGCGCGGCAGAGTGCCAATGATGATGGACTTTGTCCTTTAATGCTCGAGGAGCATCGCGAGTCACCAGACAACGATTGACCAAGTCGTCATCGCCCGCTGCTGACTCTTCTCGATGAGAACAGTGGCGTCCACTACCACGTGGAACGCCTTGTGGTTCGACGTCGTCAACAGGGCTGAACGCAATATTTTGTGAAGTGGCGGGGATACCCATAATTCAAAGAGCTTGTGGGAGTTTGAGGTGCCACTTCGGCAAGCCTATTCAGACGTTGTGGACGCTTATGACCAAACGGATCATGACGCTTCGCGTCGTCGTGCGCCTGCGCTTCTCGGCAGTAGCCTGGGAAGCTGAAGTGCCATAAGCTGAGCGCAAGCCATAACCCTGAGCCGGTGTTGTCGTAGACTTATCCGTGTGAGAAATCACAGAGCTCGCGGGAGCGTGATGGATGATTCAATGTGTCGCAAGATGAGAATACGCAGAAAGTTGGCGTTGTGCCTTGAGTTTGGCAAATTGAAATCTAAGATGGCGTTTTACGCGTGCGTGCACCACTTTGTGGTCAACTGTGAGTTGTACAGCGAGGAAAGTTTCCGGTGTTGCTACACCCATCACTCAAAGAACTCATCGTCATCTGCAGCGGTTTCGCCAGGGGCGATCGCCACAGTAATCTTCCGCTTCGCGGGTACAGGAGCGCCTCCTATTTGAGCACGAAGTCGAGTTCGGTACGTATCCCTTGGGATTTCTTCAGAAACCAAGGAACGAGTTCAGAGAGCCTTTCGTTCGTCAAGCTTAGATTGTGTAGTGGCCAGGGGCCCGATCACGTAGACGCCCAACGATCGAGTGATCGCGTTTTTTTCATCTGTAGCAGAATCCGCTTGGCGGAAGCCGTATTCCACACGAGAGTCAAGGACCGACCGTGAATGCGCGCGCATGAGAGCCGCCCTGCAGGCAGCATCCAGCTGCTGCTTCTATGCCCTTTCGAGGTCATTGGTAATGACACCGCTTTCCCCGGAAGTCAACAGTTCGGGGAACGGATGTGGCGTCCGCAAGGTTCGAGCAAGACTCATGTCGCGCCGCTGGGGCACCTCGCCCTATTCTTTTTCCCATCCAGGAATTGGTGTATCCGACTCGTAGTTGGTTTCCACCAAATCCTCAACGAGGTAATCCATCACCCGTGGTGTGCGCGGTCGAGGTTAGACATCGCGTCTGTGTTGCTGGTTGAGCGACCCTGTCGCTGACAATGCGCTGCGCGATACTCGGTTACCGAGAGCTTGGGCTGCGCTTCTCATGAAACCGCGGGCGTGCTGTCCGAAATTGCACCATGTGTAGGAGACAAAGAAGGGCCCTGCCCACCAGCGTTTTGGAGCCAGCGAGGCTAAGTGTCGTCCGTGTCCTCGACACAAGGCTAATTAAGCAGAGAGTCTGTAAATAAAATCCTGATGATGTTGTACACGCAAGCGTCGTTCGAGGCGACAATTGAATTTGAACTGTAGGTGTTCACAATCTTGATGGGAGAGAGTGTGACGAAATTTCACGGGCCCTGGTACGAAGCGTGTGGGTCACCCAAGATGATGATACCACAGCTACACTTAAACAAGAAGTCAGTACGTGGCTGGACTGCCAGTAGTCATACATTGAAATTGGTTTTGCTATATAGATAGGAAACTTACAGACTTAGTAATAGGCGGCTTTGCCGCAAATGAAACCGAGAAAAACTGAAGTGGGGCTGCCGTAGCTATGCGCTTAGAGGAAGCCTAAGTTAGGTCACCGACCTTTCGTTCAAAACTTAGAGCAAGTACGAGTTTAGCGGATCGCAATCCGCTTACTCCAAGAGTAGTTACAACCTTAACCCAAGGCTAATGGACTCTTCCGTTTAAATCCAAAACTGACTTTTATTTATATTTATCTGCGGCAAAGCCGCCTAATTTTAAATGCATAGATTTTCCGAAATATGTATAGAAAAATCTAAATACATGTATAATTACTGGCTATCCAGCCCCGTACCGTATTCTTGTTTGGGTGTGGTCACACCATGCACATCTCATGTGGCACACACCCCTGTTACCAGGGTATGTGTAACCCCGTTACAGATACAGTCTTCGCTTCGATCAGAAGCGTTATTTGCCCAGGGTTAAGGTTGTAATCACTCTTGGAGTAAGCGGATTGCGACCCGCTACACTCGTACTGGTTCTAAGTATAGAACGAAGGTCAACGAAGGTCAACGAAGGTAACCAACTTAAACCAAGCTTCCTTTAAGCAAAAGAGCTTCGGCAGCCCCGCTCAATGAGCTCTCTGGCCTGCGCAATCGTGCTGATTGACTTTAGGCACCGCGAACAGTCAAGAACCCGATCGCTGCTCTTAAGCTGACGTTAGCTAAATTGGAGAGGATGACTGAGACTTATTTTGAAATTAATAGAATGCTTTGCATCTGAACAACTCGTAGGAGCAAAAATCATAGTGTTTTTTTCGCAAGCCACGTAGAAAACAGGATGCAGTCGATTTCTCGTCGGAATAGTCAGAGAGTTTTGATCATTTCTTAATTACAATCATGATTGGTCTGATGTATCGAGGTTGCAACTTTACTGTAGACACTGTGTGTGTATGCAGATAAATAACGATTGGTAAAACCTTTACTCTCTACGTTATCAAATGTGCTTTGTCTGACTCTGGAACCTGCATATTTGTTTTGTACAGCCTGGCTGTCAGCCATGGTGCCGCGCACTAGACGCATGGTGCTTAATCTCGGCGAGAAAAATGTCTCAAATTGATACGAAGTTCATCCGGACCGACATTAGCAAGCAAATTTATTCTTTCCCCCCACGACTGGAGCCATTTTGTGGCGTATCAAAAAGATTGAGGTAAACCCCGCAACGACGGCGTACTTAGATGGTTATAATCGCAACCCTGGCGCATGTGGACTACATAGAATAGCAAAGCTGGAATGATAATGATCGTCATATCGATATGTGTCGAATTGGTTCTAACAAATGTACGAGCTATTTCGTGAGCCAATCTGAACCCATTTTTACAGCACTTGGAATTTTAAAGCCATTGCTAATGCCAAAAATTGTGCGTCACGACGAGATTCTCAGTGCAAGATCTCGAGCAACACAAAATAATGCAGAAAAGATTAGCAGTATAGATACAACGTGGTGTTTATCATGATTTTACAATAACTATCGCTGCATTAGTTACAGCAGGTGGGTTCTGGATGTAATTAATGTAAAAATTTGAGCCTTTTTAATCGTTTAGCCTAAAATTAGACGTCGTTGACTGGTAAGGAAAACAAACACATTGATGGCGCAAGGCAATGGATACCTGAAGAAAGGCAAGAAGAACGTCAAGAATATCGGATCAAAGCCCTCTAAAAAAGCCGTGAGCTATTCACACAAGAAATCTGCTGCTAAGTTTACTAAGAAAGGCAGTACGTTTTGTAATGCGTTTGGAGTCAAACTTACTTTTAGCTCATTCTGCGGTATTTGATTTAGACCCAACGATCGAGATCCGGCGCGGCTGTAGCGGTATGAAAAACCATGGAAGCAAGGCTGTGACGGGTTTCATCAACCAAAACTTAGAGAACATTATGGCTAGTCGCGTGTTGCAGGCCGGTACGACACTTGCACTTAGGGACGTTAAGGCACACGGTAAAGAACGATTGAAGGAGATCAACCAGCAAGCACGCACGAAGAAGAAGAGCCGCGTAGCACAGAAGCTGGCAGCATTAGAGCGGTCAATCAAGGATCAAGAAGAGGGTAGTACTAGGCACAAGCGCCCCACGGCTGCAGCTGTTGTGTCGCAGTCTTAAAATTTAATAGTACCGCACGAGTTGGTATGGAACTTTACTTATTATTTCTGAAATCTTTCAATTTCTGCTGCTACAATTGGTGACATTGGTGGTGTGACGTTCCACGCTGCATGCTCATCTATCGATGCAGAAACTGTCTCCTTCGCAATTGTAGTAGCGACAGCGATTGCAGAGGGAGAAGAAGGCGTGGGTCCTGCTGATGTGTTTCGCTGTTTTTTCTTGCCTTTAAACGTGGTCGAGTTAGGAAACAAATGCAAGAGAAGCTCATCTGTGATACTGAAAAGCAGGTTTTTGACAAACACTTCGTGCTGCAGAAATTCGTGCAACTTAAGTGCTGCATTCTCACAGGCCGTATCACCAAAAAGTGACAGCGCTTTTGATGGAAAACTAGCAAGAATAGCTTCAAGACATTCCTTACGAAGCACTTGAATGTCGGGCTCAGGTGTTGGGACCACGTCAGTTTTGGTTGGAAAAATGTACAATCGCAAGTCACCTATCCAACCGGAGAGTTTCTTCGGGTCAGTGAATGAAAGGAATTGCCGTTCCAGCATCCGAAAATGCGAAGCATTAAGAAATGCCTTAATAAAGGACCGAGTCATTGAAAACAGCTGACGACGCACTAAGCCGATGCCGTCAAATTCTAAAAGTTCACCTAATACGGCAAACAAACTCACTTCAATTTTTTGCAAGACGCGCATCTTCGTTTCCTTAGAGTTAGAGTCCGGCGCAATCCATCGCCCTTTCTTCCACTTGCCATTTTCTACCAGCACGTTCGCAGCACCAATCAAGCCACTACTAGCACCGTCATTTACAATACCAAGCGTCCCAGTCCCAGCAAGAGAAGAATGAAGCCCGTTATTTGTTTCATAATTATACATCGATGAATTACTGGCTGCAAGTGGTGTGGCATATGCGTTCTCAAGTAAAAGAAATTTTTGCACCACGGAACTTTGACAAAGTGTATCACACGCCAATAATTGCTGTAAGAACTGTTTTATAACGTGTAGCCGCTGGTCATAAGTTAGGGCAGCAGTAGATACAGTCTTTAACGATGGCTGAATAGATACCATTTCCATGTAATCAACACCTTTTAAATGACACGCCCGGCACCCGACTCCATATTTTTTCTCTTGTTTCTTCAGCTTGTTCTTCAAATCTTTTTCCAGCACCTCGAAGTCGTGAAACGTCTTAACTACGCTCCAAGCATACTTTGTGTCATCCTTTACCTTGACTGTGATCTCAAACTTATTGCTCCCAACGGGGCTGACGTGAGGGCTCGAAGGACTTGAAGACGGCTGAGATGATTTAGAATTTCCGAGTTTGCCTCCGCTCGGTGCGTGGTGAGGGCTGTTGTTCACAATTCCATTCGAGCTGGAGTATATTTCAACGTCACGCTCCTTGATCAAGTACTTGCCCACATTAGCATCAATACGTAGCTTGTACTTGTTAACGAGGCGGTCGTAGCAAGTGCCACAAACACTTGCCTTCTTTGATGTTTCTAATGGTGGCGGATACACCACAAAAGCGTAATAATTCAAACAGGAGGAGCACACACGTTGGCGACAGGTTTTACATGTCTTCACACTAGACTGAAGAGATGGAAGCAATTTGAGGCAGCGAAAGCACAAATTTTCGTCATCATCCTCCTCATTGTCGTACAAGGTCGGTGAGTCATTATCTGCAGACAATCCTATCGACGGTGATTGAACCTCGACATTTACGCTTCGATTGGACACCCCTCGACGCAACGACGGAATAGCTGCGCGAGCCTTGGTAAACGCCGACATTTTCGCCGATATTTGATACGATTCGTCCAAGTCAATCGTTCCAACTGGGCCGTCGGGTGTCTTTCTATCGAAACTTTTTGAGTGTCTGCTTCGCATTGCCATCTTTGCAATGTTTTCCATGTCTTTTTTCGTGTCAAATTTCAGTGCGTTAAAGCGTTGTTTAAGCTTTCTTGCCCGGCCTATTCCGTTAGGGACCGTTGATGAAGATAACGGGGAGGACACATTGAAAGTGCTAGGCGATGATGGTGGGGATGCCAGCGTCAGAACAGGAGGCAGTTGACACCTTTGACGGATCCATTGTCGCCGGCGAACTAGATCGAACTTTTTTTCTTTTTCGTGAAAATTATCCTCAAAAGTTTTGGCATATTCCCAAGAAGACTTTAGCGTATCAGAGTCTGTCGATTCTCCAGCATCCTCTTCAGCAATTTCGAGGGTCCAGTCGCCTTCCCAAATCCACTCTGATGATGGCAATTTATTGCACCGTTTGTCAGTGCCTTTAATCCATCCATTCATCGGAACATAGCGCTCAGTCTCCCATACTCGCTCCAATACACGGACAGGAGCACTTGGAGAAGTAAGACCATGAAGTAGCCACCGGTTTGAGGGCAAATTATCGAGGTTTTGGCCTTTCTCTCCAAGGACAAGAGGCATATCGAAATATACTTTAAACTTATCGAGTTGAGAAAGAGTTTGTACCACCGCCTCCATACGCCGAGAATCAAATAATAGAGCGGAGCTGTCGTAAAATATATCCGTGACGTAGCTGTGGGCATATGCCTCGGCGCAAAAAGTGCCAAGTGACCCTTTTCCCAAAGCCACCAGTAACCATTGCACTCCACGGGTCGAAATGAAAGACTCGCTCGATCTGCAATCTGGACACTGAGACGCTACGAATCGCCAGTGCTCGTTAAAAGAATCAGCTCCAGGTCTGTCTTGGGCAAGAAATTCCCAATAATACTGACTGTCATCTGAATCTCCATCGGATTCACTAGCTGTATTCGTGTCAATGCTGTCACAAAATGGTGATGTTTGCTCGACTTGACTTTTTTCTAAAGAAGCGAGGTAATTTACATTAGGAGAATTCGGAGGAGTTGCCGGCTCTTCGTTCCCAATCTCGTCGTCAAAACTTAATTTCGAATTACGGTTGCGAAAGCCAAGCATAAATACACTTTCCATCGCAAAGAGAAGATCGTAAAGCTCGCGTGAGCGTACTGAATTTCGCATTTCAGGACATTCGTCGTACATTTTCGTATAGTTTGCGACTGCTTTCTCAAAATGCGAAATCACGCGATCTCGCGCCAAATTTACCTTGGCCGTTGGCGTAGCTGCTGCTCCGTCATAACTCATTGGACTTAACAGAGAATTTACCGATCCTGTTACGTCCAAATTGTTTTGGCCACCTGCAGTTGTCCCCATGCCATCATCATAAAAAGTGACCGGCGAGTTGCTACCTGACTCGCCTCGTTTCCACGCCTTTTGAAGCAGCTGACCAGGCTTTCGGATCATTCGAGCTGCAGCACCAGCTCCCGAGCTCAGAGGTGGCGCACACGTGGGGTCCAATTGCTGACCGCCAAGAGTGCGAAAACGCCTCTTTACTTTGCCAAGCGACACATTTAATGTCGAGCCAATATTGGCCTTGGCGTGTTTTAAATCATCCATATGTGCGCTGATACGGCTATTGTCGGTGCTAATTTTTTGTGATAATGAGATAAATCCACGAGGGTCTATCATTTTTGCCGCCTTGGCAACATTTACCCGATCGTCAAGCGTAAACATGGAAGTCATCGCCTTCCGGTCACTTGACAATCCATTTGAATTGGCAGAAAGAACGGGATTACCAAACGCGAACAGATTGTTGCCATCTGTCCAATCTTCTGCATCGAATACCATCTCCGCTGCGCCTGCAGCACCTGCAGCAGCGGAGGACGCTGCACTTGCTACTGCGTCGACCACTGCTTGAAACGCTGCTTCAGCCTGTTCGCTACTCCGTTTGCTGGCTTTGTATAAAAAACTAGACGTTGATCGCAATTTATTTAGCGTCAAAGATGGCACTCCGACTCCATTTCCCGATGAAGGGGCAGTGGGCGACAGAGACTCATGTCCATTTTTGTCATCAACAAACGATTGTAAGCACGACAAAACGATCTCGTTAGAATATCGTGGTTGAGAGTACTCGGACAAAGGCTTTAAAATCTTAAACGCCGTAACTTCTCGCAGCAAATTCGTTGCAATAGAAACAAACACGTTCGCACTGTGTAGTTGTCCAAGCTGCGGCTTTAACTGGGTCAGCAACTGCGTCGCGACATGTCGTAGATAAGCTGACTCTGCAGTGTCGCTTCCATATTTTTGACCACCAGAGTGTCCCACTTTTGGCACATTCATTTCTGCACAACCTGGATGAACAAAAGGTGATCGTTGTACAAATGCCGTCACATATTCTTGACGCTTGAGCAGATTCCCGTCATTCTCATCACCTTCAAAGACCGCAGGGTACTCGTCAGCTAGTTGCGCATAAGCTTCTCGAAACCATCCCAAGTGCAGCCTCAGGAGCTCAAAACTCTTTGCTAGCATCGTCAGCGCCTGAGAAGAATCAATCTCCAAAACTCGAGATACGACAGCACCCAGCAAATCGGCGAGAAGAAATCTGACATCGTTTGGAAACTCATCGTTCAGTGAGATGAATTGAAACCAGTCAGTTATATAATTTTTCACAATTGATTGCACTAAAGCGGCAACTTCGTCGCAGATCTCAGGTGGTAAGCTCCATGAAGTTCGCAAATGAGCCACAATAGGAAGTCTCTTAAGTACTCGCAGCTGAAAGCCAGCGTCAGTCATAAAGCCCACTGAATTGGGAGGAGAGAGCGCGGAATCGACGGCTGTACCACTACTTTTATGGTGAACTCCGCTGTGATTGCCACTGCTACCACGGTTCCGATATCTAGTGTAATACTTAAACTTAAGCAAAGCTTGATCTAATAGCTCTTGCTCCTTTTGCAGTTGGTAAGAGCGCAGCACCCACCAGAAGCTCCCGCTGCCCATGACCAGTAACAATGTTTGCGCTAAACGCGTTATTGTCCACCAGATTGCGTTCGTCAGTAACAGAAATGCCCATAGATAGCGCACACTTAAAAGCAGCACCATAAGTGCTAGCAACCAGTAAACCAACCGCATTGAAATGCAGAAAGTGATGGTCTAAACAGAAAAAGGGTGCGGAATCGATCACGTCGCGCAAACCGAGAATAGTAGTCAGCCCAGATAAAGGGAGGGTAGTGAGCCTTTACGGCATACACTTGAAATCTTGCAATCAGATGTAGAAAGGCGTGCGAGCAGAAGATGAATACGTGCACGCGTGGAAGATGGTGTGACAAGTTATACGCTGAGTCTAAATTAAGATAAATAGTTAATGTGACTCACAGAAAATTTGTGGAGACCACATCCAATATGCATCTGTGGCGGATAAAACTTTAGCTAGCATGTGGCGCCGATCGAGTTTGCTGGTGCGCGGCAGTAGCAGAATTTTAGAAAAGACTTCGACGCATATATCCGCGCTTTCAACAGCCACTTCGCCATCCGTGAACGCTGTGGACTCTTCATCTGCTGTGTGGTCGCATGACAAAAAGCGTACGGGTCTTCTGGCTGTCAAAATTGGCATGATGCCCGTCTGGGACCACTTTGGCTACCGACACAACTGCACAGTATTGCAGGTGGAAGAATGCCAGGTGACGCAAGTCAAAACGGCAGATATTCATGGATTTAATGCACTGCAACTTGGTGTTGGATTGCGAAAACCAAAAAATCTCTCCAAGCCAGTACTGGGTCACCTGGCTAATGCAGGAGTACCAGCAAAGCGTCAGTTGCAAGAGTTCCGCGTATCGGGGGACGCGCTACTTCCACTGGGTACGACCCTTTCTGCACTTCATTTTAGTGCTGGGCAGTACGTCGATGTGTGCGGTATCAGCAAAGGCAAAGGCTTTCAGGGTGTTATGAAGCTGCACAACTTTGCGGGTCAACCGGCCTCGCATGGTAATTCGAAAACGCAACGTCATATGGGCTCAACTGGACAATGCCAGGATCCCGGTAAGGTATTTAAGGGCAAAAAGATGCCTGGACGCATGGGTGGTAAGCGTGTCACGCGTGATAACCTTTGGATCGCAAAAATCGACGTAATTCGCAACCTCATCTATGTAAAAGGCAGTGTACCTGGGAATAATGGTGGCATTGTTCGCGTTACAGATGCGCGGAAGAAAAAGATGAACCCGTCACCTCCCTACCCAACTTTCGTGCTCGCTGAAGGGGAGGCACTGCCAATGGAGGTGCTTGCACCACATGGAGATGTTGATCCGTACCACTACGATGATAAGTAATACATTCGCCGTAACTTTAATCGTCCAATCTACGATTCAAGTAAGCATGTGACGTTATGATAGGATTTGAGTTTGCTTGTATTAATGATTTCGTCTCTGCTTATAGTTTTGCTATGAAAGTATCTAAATGCAACATCCACGGATGGTGGCCCAACTTCAGGTGCTAGACCTTTCACTGAGATACCTGACGATATGACAGCTAACTTAGAAGTAAGTAGGTTTAGATTATGGTTAGAACTTGTCTATGAACAGTTCTTTCAGGTTCAACAATATACTACTGTAGCCAGCAAGTCATACTTTAAAGAAATGATAAATAGACAAGAACCGATATCTAAATCGAAGGCCGCCCACGTTAATATCGATGTGACGATAGCGGCAAATGTTCGACTTAACGGAAGTACAGAGCTGAAGAGGCGCTAGGCAAAGAGCTGAGAGATCATCTAAATAATCGAATCTATTGTATAGATCACAACGAACACCAGCAGTAAAAATGTATGTCTTGTGCCGCACTCAGGACTGGGCAAACAATATCGGCACAGTCGAGAGGTCACATAGCGCACGCGTCAGATGCGAACTCAATACAGAGTTCAGAGGGGGTAGACAAGTTCCGTGTGTCTTCGCTACATATACTCGATCCATATCTGTTGAGCGAGGGTCAAAACGAACCACAGGATGCAGGAATACCATTTGTCAGCCAGTGTTTCAGTGCAACAGGTTACCGATGTGAATATACGCTACAAAATTTCCAAAGCATGAGGTAAGACACAAGCTCACAAGGATGTCGCCAGGATGTTCCAGTTGAGTCTTGTTTTCTTGCAATGTAATGTCCCGGGCTTCCACAACACTTCAATTCTTTAGCGAAACGACTAGCTTTACGCGGACGACACGAGCATCAGTTGTTGCCCGCGACATAGCAAATAAGCGGTAAAAACGGATGAACCACGATTCAAGAAACAATGGCCAATCGGGCTGGCGTGATGGACTGACTGCTGCGCCAGGTACTGTGAGTGTTGAAGCATCATAAGTGATTCTGCAATAGAGTTGGTGTTCACCGTTCACAGATAGAGCTTTGACTCAAAGAGTCCGCGTTACAGTGCACAGAGGCTTCACCTAGGAGCAATATGCTTTTAAATTGACTCTATTGAACCTTGAATTAGACATATACGTTTTACTAGGATCAATAATTAATTATCGTGAGAAAACGTACAAGTACGTTTTCTGAGTTGTACGTTTTCTCACTGTTTGTACGTTTTCTCACGATAATTAACTATTGGTGGCCCAAGTTGTACAAATGGATGAGCACTCATGTGCGCGCGTGTGAGACACCGCTTACCGGTACCCACTGAGTGCTGGCAGTCTATGAGTTTGGACTTTGCGTTTGGCCTACCGAAAGATTCGGCGGGCAACACGGGTGTCGTGGTATTCGTCGACCGGTTGAGCAAGATGGTTCATGTGGCGGCGGTGCCAGACGCCATCAACGGGTTCGGTACAGCAACGCTGTTCGTGGATCGTGTTTTCCAGCAACAAGGCCCCCAGAGTCGATTATCTCTGATAGAGACCCCCGATTCACAAGAAAAGTTTGGTCGACTATCTTGAAGGTGCTAGGCACCGATTTGGATATGTCGACAGCGAATCATCCGCAGACCAATAGCCACACCGAAAGGGGGAATCGCGTCATCGAAAACGTTCTTCGCAGCGTCTGCGCTGAGACGCCGAGGCGCTGGAGCGCCATGTTGCCACTCGTAAGGTTTGTACTGAACAATGCAGTGCATTCGTCTACCGGCTGCACACCGTTCAACAGGAACGGGCTGATTCACCCTCGCGTTCCGCTGACGCAGCCACCCCATGGCTCAGCGCTTGGTGTGGGAGGAATAGCGGAGCGACTAGCTGATGTCAGCCCCCTCATCATCCATAAAGAAATCGATCGCTTCTTGTCTACCAGACTGAGTGTTCTACGACACGTTTGCGATGCGAGGGCTGAAAGCCAAGACCTGCAACAAGAATATGCAGATGAAAAAGGAAGAGGCAAAGTGGAAAGCTTTAAGGTTGGAGACCTGGTTTTGTCAAGTTCTAAAAACCTGCCTACATATGCAGCCCCTGCTGTCTTTCGAACAAAGCTTCGTCCACGGTTTATTGGACCGCTTAAGGTTGTGGCCAAGCGGGGCTTAGCT